TACTCGTCCAAAACTAATATCATTCATTCAACACCTACACTCACTTCATTTCCGAGACGGGTTACTCTTCCATGACTTCCCGAAGTTCAACGAATTATCCACCACACCGGCTTCCATGGATCGATTCACTTCCATGCGTCAGTGAAATTTTATCAGTTCAATGAGCTTTGTCATACGCACACACTTCACAAATACATATGGAACCCTCCACAATTGACTTTCATCCATTCCATCGTCTCCAAGCATTTCTTCAACTTCCGCGTGGGTGCGGGCTCTTTCCAATGACCTCACATATTTTCCACAAATCTCTCGCTAACCTCCATCTTTCTCATTCCCGCGTACACTCGACTATCTGTCCTGCTCCACCGTCAGAATATGAAACCAACAGTATGATATTCTTACACTTCCATTTCTCAAAAAAAACACGCAGCGGACAACACTTCTGCTCGAACAGAGAACCAATTTACGCTCATCTGCAACCACACCTACATAACAACTTGCCCTACACACTATCATCAAAAATCATCCGAAAGGCGTTAAAACTTTTCAGCAGCTACAAAAATCGCAAGCCTGATTCCAAAGTCTGGAAAAGACGCCACCTATATGGCAACGTTAACCTCGCTTCCATTGACAACTCAATGCGCGAAAGCTCCCCTCCCCAATCAACAATGCATTCCAAAACAAAAAGCGACCGATATTGAAACATAATAATTTCTGACGAAGCAATATGCAAACAAATCCCTATAAAACAATTGCTATGTACTGTTCGATCAGCTGACCGAGTCGCAACGTTTGCTTCGAAGTGAGCAAAAGAGGTGAACAGAAGTCTTATGAGTAATGTTCCTTTGCCATGTGATCTTCGATCAGCTGACCGAGTCGCAACGTTTGCTTCGTAGTGAGGAAAAGACGTGAACTTATATTTAGTAATGTTCCTTTGCCATGTGATCTTCGATCAGCTGATCGAGTCGCAACGTTTGCTTCGAAGTGAGCAAAAGAGGTGAACAGAAGTCTTTTCAGGAATGTTCCTTTGCCATGTGATCTTCGATCAGCTAACCGAGTCGCGACGTTCCCCTGGAAGTGAGCAAAAGAGGTGAACAGAAGTATACTCATGGATGTCGCTTTGCCATGTGATCTTCGATCAGCTGGCCGAGTCGCAACGTTTGCTTCGAAGTGAGCAAAAGAGGTAAACAGAAGTCTTGTGAGTATTGTTCCTTTGCGATTTAGTTTTCGCATGAGCGGACGAGGTGGCAGTTGGGGGTTTGCTGAGATTCAATTCCGGAAGAGATTTTTGTACGGGTTCTTTTTTGTCGTTGCTGTTTGGTTGTGTTGTTTCTATTTGCATGGTTGCTATTGGTGTTGTTGTTGGTTGTATGGTGAACAAATCTTCATCCAATGTATGGATCAATGGCGTACCGGTTTTTGAGTTCCTGTGCATTTGCAGGGTATGAAGTGTAAGTTTGGTTCAATGTTGTTTGTGATGTCAGGTATGGAGGATGATGTATCTTGAATCATGGTTTGTTTTGTGTCTTTAATTGTTCTTAGTATTGTGGGATAATGGAGGAGATGGGTATTTTTGTTTGCAGCTGTGATAGTGAGTGAATGTCAGTGATACGATATCGAGAAGTGATGTTGTTTGGAAGGTTATGGTTCCATACGCGCATTGAGAATTTTATTCGTTGGTTTCTGTTTTTGTGTATGTGGGGGTTTGCTTGTATCGGATGTGAGCAGGTTCGTGACTGCTTAATGGATGCTGCATTGAATCTGTTTTGTTTGGGGTTTGTCTTGGGGAGTAGTATGTGATTGTGTATTTTGGTGTTCTGGTTCTGTGTGCGTTGTAGGAGTTAATGGCATTTGGGTGGGCTTTTGCACTTTGGACGGCGATTACATGGGACCTTGAGTGACGGAGTTGATGACTGGAATTATGTTGTGTGCTTTGATTTGTTTGACTGTTAGGTGTTGGATGTTTGATATGGAACGAATCCGTTTGAGATGAGATAGTAGTTCAACTTCAAACTGTGGGTTTGTTTGCTACGCAGCACGGCGCATTTGATAATTGAATGTGAGAACTTTTGAGGAAACACAGATGCTATTTACTAGAATGTATTCGGATAACATATACCTCGATCCTCTCTATTTTCTCCTCTTTGGTCATCTCTTTATTTCGTTTCTGTTGCTTCTTTTCTTCGACATTGATTTGCCTTTGTATTCTTTTTTGTTTTGTCCTTGTCTACTCCTGTGCCTGTATATGCACTGTTTTTCTTAAAGAATAAACAGAGAGAGAAGAAAAGACGTCGTTCTTGTGTTCGTCCCTTTTTTTGAGTGGGAACCCTAACAATATTGTTGTGAAACTCTTATAGTTCAGAAAACGTTCGTTTTATAGGGTTTTACTTTTACGCTTGGGGCTTTACTTTGATTCTCATATATTTCACCTGTTATTCATTGTAGTCTCTTGAATCGGTGTGGAGTGTTCCCATGAGCCGTTTTTGTGTTCTGTATCTACACTCACATGCGTAGATAAGTGAATCAATCTGAAAGTACTAATGCGGCTGTAAGTATGGGGCTCACGGTAGATTCCTAAGTGTAGAAGTAAAACGGGATAGAATTAGTTTTCCATTGATTCCTCGAGACTTTGGAAAGCTTCTACAGAAAACTTTCTAGTCGTCGTAACACCTGTCAATAGTATAATNATATTTTCTAATATTCGAAATAAATTACTCATGTCACCGTCTTAAATACTCTTTCATTGTTCGTTCTACTTATTGCATCCTATCTGACATTATACTATTTGTACCTAAAAACCATTAGGATAGCATCTTGGAAAGATATATTTCGAAATGTTTCTTTGTCTTGATGGTACTACATAACCACTTACTATGCTCTACTGCTCACAATTTAAACACTACGATATATCTTTTCCCAGCCTGGGCTTCATGCATGGTAAAATCACCTTTCTCCACTGCTGAAAAACCTTTCAAACGCCGTGATGCACACATCGTCATATTTTTTACTGTTCTCCATAAACTTCACATTGACAACCCAAACTCAATGAAGCACAAAGGCTTTTTACATCACTTCCGTGTCTTCCATACATGCACACGAAAACGATCTCATTGTTTACGGTAAAACAGTTCTTGGTCAGTAGACTCGTAATTTGCGTGAAAAAAGCTTTTTTTTGCCTTACAAATGACCATTTGAGCCGTGGAAATGATCATTTGTGCCATGCAAATGGACATTTGTCCCATATAAATGGTCATTTGTGCCATAAAAATGGTCATTTATGCCACGAAAATGGTCGTTTGTGCCATAAAAATGGTCATTTGTACCATAAAAATGGTCATTTGTGTCATGGAAATGGTCATTTGCACCATAAAAATGGTCCTTTGTACGACAGACATTGGTCGTTTGTGCCACAGAAATGGTCGTTTGTGCCATAAAAATGGTCATTTGTGCCATAGAAATGGCGATTTGTCCCATAGAAATGGTCATTTGTACCATAGAAATGGTTATTTGTGCCAACCCCTTTGTTACAGACAGACAGACACGCAGACAGACAGACACACAGACAGACAGACACACAGACAGACAGACACACAGACAGACAGACACACAGACAGACAGACACACAGACAGACAGACACACAGACAGACAGACACACAGACAGACAGACACACAGACAGACAGACACACAGACAGACAGACACACAGACAGACAGACAGACAGACGGACATACAGACACACGTGAATTACGGTTTCTAGACCCTAGCCTTTCAGTCTAGGGAATATCGATGTCGATCGCTGTAAATCTAAAGGCTAGATCTTCGAGCCATTCCTTAGCATCCTTTGTCGATTTGGCCGAAAATTTGGCTGCACTTTGCATGGGATGTTGCGTCATGGGCATTGGTTGTTTGTTGATCGGTTGGTGGTTTTTCAATGAGTCGTTCTCACTTGTTCGATCGTTGTCCCTGCCCGTTTTAATTTTGTCTTCAGCCTGTTCTTTCTTCGCCGCCCGACTTGCTGTTCTATCTGCCCGTTCTTTGATCTTTTGTTGTTTTATATTCGTCGACTCCGTTTATGGTTGATCACCGATGGTGTATGACGGTGTAGGGTAAAATCGATCGTTTGTATCGTGCTACCGGTCTGTCGTGAAGTTACGTCGCCCGTTCGTATCGTGAAGTGAAGTCACCCGTACGTATCCTGTCCCGTCCGATATACCTCCGTATCTCTCTGTGTCAAAATGTAGTCTAATCCGCCACAACAAACACTATATGCAGCTAGTTAATTAATGCTGGTTCAGTTCAACAATGTCCTCGTAGGGCGCATCACCGATAAGTCTGACCATAGGCAGTATGTGTTTAGCGCTAGTGCTGTGGTAACGATTCAGATTTACACTTTTCGAGCAGTGAAACAGGTGTATTATATTGCGTAACCTTACCTTATTTGTCTTGATGGTTGACGATATCAGATGCGTCTACCAATCGTTGCTTGCTTTGTCCGATTGTCTCGAAGATGTTGGATTAATAGAGTTGCCGGCCAGTGCACCAATGTGAAGGTTCTTACTATCCTTCCGCTGTATATATATCCAAATAAGTAAACCCAAAAGTGTTACTACTACATAACTAACTAGCTATATATAGCGACAGAGAGAACAGAGAGAACACAGAGAGAGAAGATAGATCACGAATATAAAGATAGTACGAATCAAATAACAAAGGGAGAGAAGATAGATCATGAACATAGAGATAGTACAAACACCTGGATATCTCTCGGACAGAGGAGAGAGAGATAAAGAGAAAGAAGATATATCATGAACATTAAGAGGGTACGAATCAAACAACAGGTGAGATGTAGGAAGATAATAAGAGATACTGTAGATGGGGCGACTCTACGACCTAACCGGAGAGCAGGTCGTAACACCATTGTTCATTTCAACAAGAATATGTTTCTCCAAGAACTCTCTCTTTCACTGACGAAAGAACAACAGAAGTTACTGTTAACAAGATGAATAATATCACGCACTCTTATACTGTGCAGCCAATTACATCAGCTGATAGTCAATTATTACACAAATTCTTCCTCATTCTTCAGGAAAAGGAAAATGAATTCGGTAAAAGAGTAGACAAAGATTTAATTGTACCACAAAATGTCGTAGTACGGGCTTCAAAATCTGGAAAAAGCAGTGATGAACAACATCGCATTTTTTCAAATGAAGTTCTACGTTCTTTGGTTGGTAGAAAATTTCTTCTTTTCCTTGATTGTTGGACAACTCAAGCTGATCTAAACAAATTTAGAACAGTATTTCCACATCAAGATAGTCAGTTATTAATTTTTCCGAAAGGATCAACTGGCTATATTCAACCACAAGATCAATCCTTGTTTCGTTCATGGCGATTTATTCATGAGAAAATTGAACATTATATTCATATCAATCGAACAGAAATGAATTTGAGCAATCGTCAATATTTCGTAAATATGCATTCTATCATTCACAATCAATTATCTGCTCCACAATTTAAAAGTCTTATCAAGTCTCGATTTGTGCAAACTAAAATACTCAATGAACCAATTGGTGAAATCAACAAAGCAAAGGAGATTTGCTTTAAATTTTATGACATTTATTGTTCAGTTCCTGATTGTGAAGAGCGAACCCTATTTATTTGCGTTTGGTGCCAAAAAAGCTGTTGCTATTATCATTTGATTGAAGATCTTCATCTTCATCTACAGTACATATTTTCAAATATTATTTTGTACGATTCATTGATTTCTCGTAAAATAAAGTCAAAAGTATAGTATTGATGCATGTTGGATTGTTATGTGTAATAATCGTAAACATCCTATTCAGCACCGTTAAATTACAGAAGAAGTCGTATCTTAAGAAGACTAAATACTGTTAGTAAGACTCACGAAGATTTTGGTCACTGGCGTCTTCAAAAATTTGGTGATTTTATAAAAAGATTGATGTGAATAGGTCACATATTATCATGCTTCTATACCCAAATAATGCATAACATAAAAATTAAATATCTCTGTTCAGGTATGCCATCAGCAACTCATATTTTAAATACATTAGTTTCTCGATGAGAGTGATCACTTCACGCGAACAAGGTCAATCTTACTGCTCAACAGTTCCCGACCTTCCACTGTCAGTTGCAAAGTACGCGGCCCCATTTTTTGCCTTCTACGAGGTAAAAATGATGAATCGATTCGTTTCTATGCGTCCGAAGTTAATTCTTGTGTCAAGTTGTAGAACAAAGTTTGATGTTTAAAATTCGACAATTGCGGGAAAAAGTTGAGGTTTATTTTTTGAGAAAATCGGGGTCCACAATCAGGTTTGCAGCAAAATGTCTGATTTTACTCAAAGTCCCCCGAGCAAACAATTCGCTCAAGGAAGCTGAAATTTTTAGCGTGGTGCGATATTATAAAGGTATGTTTCAAAACAGAAACTCAGGTCTCTATCGTTGTCCAACGCGAAGATACCAACGCCCATAATTGGCCAAAATAGTTATCAATTCCTCCAATAGGGAAATCCATAGAATATCAAGGACTTAACCATTCGTGCTGAAAATTATTTTATGCACACAAGATACTGATGTATACATGCACCAAAAATTTCATATTTACTGGTTGAATCCTTTTCAAGATAAAGCGCGCTCGAAATGCACCTTAGAGCAGATGGAATTTTATAGAGCACTTCGTAAAAGTTCGATAAAAACTCGAGGGTTCAACATTTTTTCAATTAATTTTCGCCGAAATCGGTTGTGCCTTACGTTGCCTAGCTCTTATATGTTATATGCATCATTTATGTTTTTTCAATAACAGTCATGTCTCAAACATAACATCAATGGTTACACAATACAAAATACGCTTCCTATTATCTCATTTGATGCTTCAAGTTAGGACAAAAATCATTATAAAAACTAGTATAATATGTCACGCAACACATTCGGAAGAAAGCAACACAGATTCTTCTTTCCATACTGATATTCATTAGAATTGACACAGCCTGGATGGAAGATTGTTTTGAAATCTATACATTCTTCTTTTATCCAAATTATAACATGAAATTCCTTCGATAGTTTACAATAAAAAAATTAAATGATAATTCTCACAATTGTCGTTAAATAAAATCCTGCACTTTTACATTTTTTGAAATTTTATACAAAATTTTTCAAAAGAGATTTTCAAGAGAAACTCTTCCATTCTGATGTGTAACAATTATTAATCAGTTTCTTTACCTATCAAAACAAACTTCTTCCGTAAAAAAGTTCAAGGATGAACAGGGTGTGAGTGTTCCCTAGATTGAAAGGATACGGTCCAGAAACCGTAATTCACCTGTGCCTGTCTGTAACACTGGCAAAAATGACCATTTCCATGCCACAAATGACCATTTCCATGGCACAAATGACCATTTCCATCGCATAAATGACCCTATCAATGGCACAAACGACCATTACTGTGGGACAAATGACCATTCTAGTGGCCAAGACCTCTTTATACTTGTAAAGTATGACGTTATTTGGGATAGTAATCCGTATGGAACGCCGGGTAGTTCGGGAGGGAGCCGAGTCGCCACATTGAGTGTGGGTGCTGAATATGACGCACATCCTTGTTTTCATTCCGTCAGTATAGGGTCCAGTGAATCGACCTTCGATGTCGATGAACCTTACTCGTGATTACGAGAGGAATATTCATATCTACACATACACCCACACCCTAAGTTTATCAAAACGACAAGTCCCCACCAAGCTTTTCACTAACTTGTTAATTATGCAATTGAGAAACACCTCTTTGTTTTCGAGAGGTCCATCACTTTCTTCCGTCTCTAAAGTCCCTAGATATTCATTGGTAGCAAAATGTTATCCGTTGTCTACCTCTTCCTTCTGTTGCTTTACTCGTCTAAAACTAATCTCATTCATTCGACACCCAAACTCACTTCATTTCCGCGACGGCTTACTGTTCCCTGACTTCTCCAAGTTCAACGAATTATCCACCACATCAGGTTCTATGGATCGATTCAGTTCCATGCGTCCGTGAAATTTTATCCGTTCAATGAGCTTTTTCACACCCACACACTACACAAATACATATGGAACCCTCCACAATTGACTTTCATGCATTCCATCGTCTCAAAGCATTTTTTCAACTTCCGCGTGGGTGAGGGTCCTTTCCAATGATCTCACATATTTTCCACAAACCTCTCGCTAACCGCCATCTTTCCCACTACCGTCTACATTCGACTATCTGCCCCGCTTCACCGTCAGAATATGAAACCAACGGTATGATATTCTTACACTTCCATTTCTCAACAAAAACACGAAGCAGACAACACTTCTGCTCGAAAAGAGAAGCAATTTACTCTCATTTGCAACCACACCTACACACCAAC